TAACGATATTGGCAAAGCCCCCAGTGCAATTCCAGCTGATCGTATTGTGTGCGAATCGGACGTTGATGTTTGCACGCGAAATCAAGACAAACAGATGTTTTCATTGTTTGTACTGGAACTTTTGCCAGAACTCAATAACCAGAGCCGTATTTCACCGCGATAGCTATCGGTTCGAGTATTAACGTAAATTGAATTCTGTACGTCGAGCACCGCTGCGTGACATTTGTCAGCGTCCCGACGCCTTATAGCCCTTTAAACAAGATCTTACGGGTCTGGACTGGCGACATAAGGCGTGTTAAGATTTTGCGATATAGCCAGTCCCAAATCTACACCGGGCGGAAGGGTAGCTTGGCTGACCAGTCGAACCTTATAAGGTTATAAATCCCTGATTTATGAAGCAGGGATGCTGGTATAGGGCTAGGCTTGGAAGCAGATGATGACGTCACCGGTCCAAAAATAGCCCTGTATGAATGGGGGTTTATACGTATACACGGTCATTCAAGACTATTGCACCGCCCGAAGATAATTTTGAAGTAGGAATTAATTAAAATCGAATGAACATAACTATCTTCAGGTTGTACAGTAGTCCTGAATGATCTTTATATATATTGTAACGTGGCGTTACGAGCTGGAGGAGGCCCGCCTAAGAATAGCTAAAAAATAAATAAACAGGAACTATCGGAAGAAACCGTTCGGTAGCACAGTGGTTAGTGTCCTAACTCAAAATAGTTTAACGGGTGAGTTTTCTGTTAAAATTGAAGAAAATAGAAAAATTTTCACAAGATTTAAAAAAAAATGCGTGAATGACACCAAACGTAACGTTGCTCGGATTAAAAAACAATTTTTGACCGAGTACTGAAATTTACAGTCACTGATTGACGGTCATAATATGTTAGACGTTACTTGTGCTTTTTTTTTTAAATATTTTTGTATACATGTACCTTGAATAATTGTATGGAACCAAAAATATATGTTTTAAAAAAGTGGTTCGTGTCCTGGCTAGACTGCTCGTAGGCACCGGGTTCGATTCCTGGTTGGGACAAATGATTTTACGGAAGATCCAAACCCTGCGGCGCTTCCTGGATGTCCGAGAGAAGAAATTTATTACGACTAATGCGGCATGGGAAACTCATTATTACGTAATATATAAATCAATTACTTTCCCCTTCAAAGCTGAAAAAAAATTACGTGGTCAGCTTGCGGTTACGAGATCAATATGGTATCCTAATAACGGTCAGAATATCCAGCCTATAATGAATGGATTTACGCCGACGTTCCTAAAGGCGATGAATCTATGCTGACTGATGAGTCCCTAAAGAAAAACCAGTTCAAAGGTCGGTAATGCCGGTAAACATTATGATTGATTATTAATCAAGTCCCTGTCTTAATGGACTTTAATTATTAACCAGGGTTGCTTCATATACCTGGTGACATAACACTTTCGGCCCTCTAAGTGTATATCCACGTACCAGAATGTTACACGATGTTGAAATTCTGAAGGATTTCGCCTGAACGAAGCCTTTCCGAAGACCTCACAGTGACCCAGAGGTGAAAGGGTTCCTTTAATCATCTTTCAGACTACAAATTCAAGGGATGAAATCGAAAGGGTGAAATTGCAAAAAAGTTAATGAAAGGAGCTACGATCATTCTCTTGGAGAAAATGGCGTTGTGTAACGAAACAAAATAAGGGAACCATAATCCAAGCTGGCGATCAATAATTTACAGCCAATTGCGTTAAAGCGTTGCTACTCGTGCTTGTAAAATTGAAGGAACAAAAAAAATGTTTTATGCTCCATTATATCGAAAATATACGCAGGTACCACAACATATGTTATCCCAACTGGTCGTACAGAACTAATCAGTTCAAATATACCGGCGGCTGAACTTGCTACTTCAGCCAGGCTTTCCTATAGAAATTAAATGGATGGGCCAACTGGCCGCTGGTGCTTTTACCCTGTAACAGCTCTGTATATTGTGTATACGTGTACTTGATTACGAAGAGACATATGGGATGTACGAAAGTTTTATGTATATATGTACAGCGTGATTTCAGAAGCGATCGGTGTTATTTTCAGTTTGATACAAAAATCCTGATAACCGTCGGATAGCGTTATCAGCGAGAATTACGTTGTCAGAATGGGTAACGAATGAGTAGTGTCTCCTGGGATCAATTCGCGTCCCTTGTCCTTTTCACGTGTCTCGTAGATCTCTGGAAGGTAGCCGTTGTCCGTAAAGTGTAGTCACCAACATTTGGAATTTTTTTTGTCATTTTACCAAAATTCTTAGACAGACTGTACTGCCTCCATGAAATTCGTCCGGAACGTGGTAATTTTTGGTTTACGCCATTTCAATTTTTCTGTCGGTTAATTTCTCCTGCGAAATTTATCGTGACCTGAAAACATTATAAATATGTTACATGACCTTTTCATCGTTGGTTAACATTACTGTCAGACTTGGCAAGAGACTAGTGTAAATTAGTAGGAGTTTTTAGGCGTTATCGACTAGTAAATCTGAATCGTCAATAGACAATCAGCATCATCGCAGGATTCGTCCGATTCGGAAACAACCGGAGAATTCGATGCAACTGCGACAGACACTATTTTGAAAATTCGTTCAACACTTTCCAATTGGTTGGTACAATTTTCCAGAAATTGCTGGTTCCAACAGCCTTTTGTGGCTCGCTTAAAATTGGTTACCCAGAATGCAATAATCGGTCATTTTGACTACTGTCTCATGTCCCACGCTAGAGTTTCAATCAACCCCAAAAACGCATTGTGGAATCCAACCGTTTCGCTGTTTCCCGTGACTTCTTTTTTCAAAAGCTACGGAAATAGATACGTCACGTATACACGCATTCAAAAAACGAATCGGAACGTCGGTCCACGAGTTCAACGTGGTCTTTATTCAGAATTCGAAAATAATGCAAAAAAATACACGTGGCTATGTATAAAAATTTTTTTGCTAATTTTCGAATTTCCCACTGAAATATATTTCACTGTTTTATTTTACCAAAACATTTTTGTAACTTTATAAGAAAATCGCCTGTCATTCCCCAAGATTCGAATTTTTCGCGAATTCAGAAAATCAGCCTGTCGAACGCCTAAGATCGACTGTACAAATATACGTGAAAGGGTGACAATCTCAAATCTCGATTTCCAAAGAGCAAAAAAAATGGCCAGCAATTCTTTCACGTAAATAAATTCAAATTGGATGCGCAATGTATATAGGGAGGCAGCATATACGGATCTCGAATAAATAATTGAATCACAGCCTCAGGGGGTTGTTTTTCGTCCCTTAGAAAATTCCTGCGTAACGGTAGAAAATTGAATTTTACTAAGAAACTGGTAAGACGCGTTCAGCGTCTCGTTGATCAAATTCGTTCCTACCAATCTGTAATGTTGGAAGCCTGCTTTGTACTGACGCACGTTCCTATATATATTACACACTTTGAATGCACATATATATATATATATATATATAAGCAAGTCGCTCACGTTATCCGCCCTCGGCAATCGCGTTCACGATGAAATCTAACTTTAGAAAAATTTTCCAAGAAAAAAATAAAAATTTCTCCTTGCCAAAGGAAATCCTAAGTCTCAGACTTACCACCCTAGCCGGAATACCATACCGCGACATTGGCCAATATACAAAAAGAATTCGGTCGTTTCCATGAGAATTGCCAAAATCACTGAAACCAAATCTCGCCCGAGTGTTGCGCAACTGTCGGCAAGTCACGTAAACCTGGGAAAAAAAAGTGTTTTATGTAAATGGATTATTAATATTTTTTTATACTGCCACCAAGACGAGTCTATATTACCGATTTTTCGTCACTGACTGTACGCGTAAATCAAAACCGATCAATAATTAAGACCCTAGACTTTTTACCCGAAAAGTCACACGACCTGCCAAAATTTAACTGGCATACGTGAAACGTCACCGGTCCCACCTATAGATACAGTATAAAAAAATGATACACCGTAGACATAAAAAAAATAAGAATAAAAAATAAAAAAATATTGATCACTATCGGAACACGGGCAGATTTTCATTACGGTCGCACAACCGACGCATGGCGTCGGCGTAACAGCTGGATCCTCGAGCGATGGGACTATAAAGCGTCGGCGTCGCCACATCCTTGGCGTAAACTCCTGACACGTGGTTGCAAGAGCAAGAAGGAAATATCGGCAATCCGAAACAGCTGCTACCGGTCGAATAAGAAATAATCGACGGCAGCGTCCTTCCCGGTACAACCGACGCCGGTCCTGAGCGTCACTTGAGGGCGACCACTTGTGAAACGTTCGCGACGATAAACGTGCGTGGAGGCTGCCGTTTCAGTTTTTCAAGCAGCCGTCGCATCGGTAACCCCATAACGCCTCGTTAAATTTCCTCGCTCACTGTGATAATGGGTAGAGCATTTTTTCTTTTATTCCCCTGAGAACTCTCACGAAAACGTCTGCATGCTGCCAAGTAGCTGTAAAACGGTATAGCGATGATAAGATGATACGACAACGTTTCTTGGTAGACCGAAAGAATCTTAGTGTTATATAAATTTGTCCCCAGGGATCAAGCAGGCTCTGCGCAGAGACTTTGAGGTACGGTTTAATAAGCCAGATGAATGTTTTTTTTTTCTACCACCCTAAACAAGATCACCAGGTAGAGCATATAATATGCACGGTGGTCCAAAAACAAAGTATAAAAAAATTTTTCAATTTTTTGTTTTTCTACCACCTAGTGATATACGTACCCGTATACCCTATGTAGCTATACCATAAAGTTTCTTTGGAAAATTCACCGCAAATTGTTACTAAGCATACCGGCTCTTGGTTTGGTGTACGTACAAGTAATACGGAGTAGCACAGTACTATATTAAATGTACACGGTGGTATAGTACCGCAGGATAGTATAATAAGGTCTGTGATCTACCCTTAGAAGTTGCCGTGAAACATTTAATATCCAGAGTGCCTACGTCTATGGGATAATATATATTTTATTTGTTTCAGGTAAGAGCACGTATAGCCAATAAATTAATGCGCTGGGGCGCCGAGAAGGTAACGGAACTATGAATTGACCTTAAGGGCGTAACAACCGAGACAACTGGAGGATTCGGCGTGAACGCGCATGCGCACGGGGTGTTTGCGAGGACACGTGCGAATGCGTGTTTTGGCCGAACAAAAAAAAATATTATTTTAAGACTTCGATAAACGAATTGAATGAAGAAACACAAAATTTTACGTTACGGAAAATTACTTTAAGGCGAAGCGATCGGGTTTTGTCGTAACGAGGAAAGGAAAGAAAGAAGAGAAGGCGGGAACTGTTATTATTTACTCAATATACGTGATGATAGTAAAGTACGTAACGTTATTGTACAGATATGGAGTCTTGGGTATCAGATTGTATTTACGTTAGGTGCGCGTGACGTTATTTCTTAAGTGTGAAAAATTTTCAAAATTGGCGCCCGAACGGCTCGACGTTTCGAAGTGTATATAAAGCGATTTAAGAGGATAGCCCTAAATCTTACGAAAACTTCCATTTGTATTTTATTAGCGCGTCTCACCCGACTGATTTTTTCTATAACCAATGCTCAATGCACGTTTTAGTAGTATTCGCCATTCCGCGTATCCCAGAACAAAAGAGTTTCACGGTAATGCATAGCGGATCCTATTTAAAGCTGCGGGAATACGTCAGAGAGACGCCAGCTATCGTGCCCCCCGTGGAGCTCAACGTGGAGTTTGAAAGCGTGAGATTTCTTGTGGCCCACGTGTGAGTCTAGCAATTCGCGTAGCCAGTGTTTATTTTCAAGCACGACTCCACGTAAACGATCCGCTCGCTTCGGAGAGTCGCAGCCAATTAAACTCAGCCTGGACGATCCTTATCGATATCATCTTTAGTGCACGGTGTCGCTTCGCACTCTCGAGATCGAACTTCGATGTCCGAGGTGGAAGCTTATAGTATCGGCTGTGGAAGCGACGCCGACGTTAGACGTAGAAAACTTTGAAACTCCATCTACATCTACGAAAGTGTTACTTATGGTTCAGAGATCGGAGAATCTTTATTGGAATTTCATTAGTTTCATGTCATCCCTTATATACGGTTATCTGCCCACTTTGTAGGTTATGTACAGATGCCCTCGTACCTAACCTATAAGACTGCAGAACATTCGGTCCCACTGTATTGGCCAACCAGTACCTTTCCTTGAACCACAGTGCACTGTAGCATTTGTTAGATCAGGTTAGGTACAGATGCCCTACCTAACCTATAAGACTGCAGAACATTCGGTCCCACTGTATTGGCCAACCAGTACCTTTCCTTGAACCACAGTGCACTGTAGCATTTGTTAGATCAGGTTAGGTACAGATGCCCTACCTAACCTATAAGACTGCAGAACATTCGGTCCCACTGTATTGGCCAACCAGTACCTTTCCTTGAACCACAGTGCACTGTAGCATTTGTTAGATCAGGTTAGGTACAGATGCCCTACCTAACCTATAAGACTGCAGAACATTCGGTCCCACTGTATTGGCCAACCAGTACCTTTCCTTGAACCGCAGTCCACTGTATCATTCGGTAGATGAGGTTGTCCGTCACGGGTCTTCTGGTCTTGTTAAATAAATTGACAGGGTCCCTGGTATGTCAGTGAGGGTGAATTCCGAGGATAAGAGTATATGAGAGCACCGTTTTAGCAGCACATACAAACCTTAAGGGACATCTTAAGTAATTTGGAACATGGTCAGAGGTACATTTTCCAAATTAAATTTTCTAACCTTTCTCAAATCCAATGAAACTTCGTTTCGATTACGCCACCCCTTATATACGCATATACCTCACAGCTCGTAAGTATTCCTATGTCTATGTTCTCTTTAACGACCCAAGGACGCTGCATATGCGTTTTTAGGGTCTTGCGAAGTAAATCAGAGCTCCAAGCTCAACCAAGGCGTCCCGAACAATGGAAATTGCTACGAGCGTCGCTCCTAACCGAAGACTCAACCCTTGGACTTTGATTTTTTTTTCTATTTCAACCTCCCCCATAGGAACTGGGTCGTATCTCTTCCTTACAACTTCAGAGAAAGCTCTCTCCTTCCTCCTGGCTGATGTCGGCGTCCCGACGACTCAAGTGGGCTTCTCTTATCATCGATCTACGTACAGCCTGACACTTGATTGCTCGTTGGCGATATTTTGCCAGTTGGGCTTTCTTCGGGATGTCTTTTATATACCTAGTCTGCATATTCGTATATTCATCCAGTCGTCCGACCCATTTGGTAATTCAGGTTGCGTCTCTCTTATCATCTAAAAGGGTCCACTTTCCTCTCTTTCTCTCTCTCGCACTCTTTACTGCGAACCTTGAATGGACTTTTCGTGGGAAATAGGAGGGAGGACAAAGTTGCGCCATATCGTCATTCGGGAATTATTGACGATTCGTCCTGTCACTTCAAAAGATAGGTCACGACCCCCAGGATCGGACATCGATTGAGACACCCCTTCTCATTGGGAGTAATAATCTGACGCGGTTCGGACGTTCCTGAGTAACTAGAAAATAGGGGGCACGATGGTCAGGTGGTACGGTCCTGGTACCGATATACCTCAGTGGGTAATGAAAACGGTAGATGAAGAAGACGAGGGTGGAATTAAAAAAGGAGAAAAATAATAATAGCTGGAAATTGGTAACTAGGACGCGTGATTTTGTATCCATAGGATGAGACGGATAGTGAGAAATTCAGGGTCGTATCTGGATATTGCATGATAATTAAATTACGAGAAAAAAAAGTTATCAAACTTAAAAAAAAAAATTTTACGACCCACTTTAACCATTTCGTCTGGCATCATCTGGTTTCCACCCGCGCGACTGCCCTAGAAGCATTAGATCCTTTTTGGGCTTTGTTCCTTTTTTTTTGGTAGCCATTCTTTGGTCGCTTTGTCTATTTTCTCGTCCTTCTTATTCTTTTGTAGTGTCTCTTCTCTTTCTTTTTCACCTTTCTCTCGATATCTTCCTATATCTTCACGAAAGACAAATTGAAACTGTGATTTATGTACCTGCGAGATACGTAGCGACAGCTGGCCTCCTGGTGGCGGCAACGCGCACCTAATGTCGCACAAGATAAGAATCGATTCGAGGGAAAATGTAGCAAAAGGTTTGAGCTTCCATTCTGGGAATTAGTGGGACGCAGGAGAGGCGAAAAAAGGTCCCATCGAACTTTCCTCTCTTATTAAAGTTTTCTATTCATTGCTCGTGAAAGAAGTTGCGATCCCTTTTAAAGTCTAAGGGCGACGTTTTCATTACGGAAGTTCACTTGGGATCAGTTCGGGCGTCCGTTAATCATTAATTATACTGTTCGGAATTACGTGTACGTAAATATTAGCTGTGACGTCATTGACGTCTCTTATTTTGTATATCGAGCGGAGGATCGATTCTCGAGAGGCTACGGGCAGCGGGAATAATTACGAAATAAATTAATTTAAAAAAACTCATTAACGTTGTATCGATGTTTACGTCTACGTTACTCGTGATGTTGAGACGTCGTATTTCCAAATAATTAATTATTACGATGACTTTTCGGTGTTCGATGTCGATTAAAGGAACATGTAAATGAGATGTTTGTCCTCCACTCCCAACAAAAATTGCTCCTCAGCCTCTACCAACAAAAATATATATATATATATATAAAAATACGTAAATGTAATATATAACGAAAACTGTAAATATAGGATTTAAGTATAGGAATATTTAACGAAAAAAAAAGGGAAATGTAAACCGAGAGCCGTAAGACATGCGCCATTGTAATTTATTGTAAAGGAAACAAATTCTTTTAGATAGGTTATGTTGAATCGACTAAGTGTAATATTTAGGTTAATTAATTAATTAATTAGCGACTAAGAGTGTGTGAGTGTGAGTGTATTATTTATAAGGTAATTAAAAATTAAAAAAAAACCGGTATTCGAATAACCGGAAATCGATGTATCCCATTCAAATGATAGAATGATTGCACTGGTATCGGGTGTTCGTATTTTAGCGCGGTAAATACGAAAAATTTATATATTTTAGGGAAAATTCGAATCTCCGTATTACGGCATATGAGCCCCTGTCTTTTACGCTGATTCGATTTTGAAAGTCATGTTTATTTAGAAAAAAAACATTTGTGTCTTAACTGGTTTTTTTTTAAAATGGACTTTTTTTTTCCTTGTTTAACATTATTTCTTAAGGTCCACGTGTTATTATAACTCACGGTGAAATCCGTATCAATTGTACTATATGGTATACAGTAAAGATATTATATCATGAACCGAAAATAGAACTGTTCAAATTTCTTCTTTTGATAACTCAATCCCCACTATCACCTCCTATCCTGATTCATATCAGAACCGGAGACGTATGTATACGGGATATTGGCAATTAATTAAAAAGGCTGTTCAGACAATTTAACAAGAAGGTTAAGGGATGAAAGGAGAATGATTTTAAAAAAAGCTTTGCAGAACAAAGTCCGTGTACAAAAATTTTAGCTTTCTCGTGCTTTTTGAAAAATATTTTTAAAAATTCGTTCGCCGTATCGTCCCTTAAGGCATATATATTGTGCATATATAAAGTTACAAAAATACATAAAAAAAAAAAAAAACATGGAAGAATCAAATTATGAAAATATCAGCAGCTTGAAAAATACAAAGTCGATAAGGATTCTATTCATCGTAGGAACGTCTATCTAGCCTGACTTTCTCATTTAAATTTGAAGAATTTCGCCAATTTCAAAATGTCAAATGTATTAACAGAGAGAGCATCGGATTCCAATGTAGATTTTATAAATATTTCTTTACAAGACCGTCTCCCCCTGTCGGTCTCCTTTAACGCCATTTTTTTCTCCCATTTCCCAAATTTGAAGAATTTCGCCATTTTCAAAATGTCAAATGTATTAACAGAGAGATCATCGGATTTCAATGTAAATTTTACAAATATTTCGTTTCAAGACCATCCCCCCCTGTTGGCCTCCCTTTACACAACTTTTTCTCCCATTTTTTTTTACCAAAAAAGAAACTCAAGAAGCGACAAGAAGACCAAAAAGCATACAATCAAATAACTTTCTACCGTTTGATATACTTTATTTCTTTATTTTCCTTTCCGTCCCCGAAAAACCGATTTCTATGGTCCTTTTATGCGAACATAAGTCCTTTGGAATCTGAAGGAAGATACGTATCTCAGTATACCTATAACTCGTATGGGCTGTACAAGGAGATATTATCGTTAAACGAAAGGCACCTAGACGATTTGGTTGCCGTAAAGGAAGAAAGAAAAAATTCTGATCGAGAAATCAGAAATTCAATGTCCCGGAAGAGGCAGGAACAGAATTCAGTTTAGGAGTCGGAGTGAAAAACGTACCGAATTCCCTAGAGAGAGCTTCACGCTACGTGGACGTCCGTTCGACTTACTTCGGAATCGTTCGGGTTCCGTCGTAACTCTAATGCCTTATGGGCAACGTTAAATTAAATGGACTTTACAGTTCACGAGTGTTACCGGACCTCGTAAATGGAAATATTTAAGACTCTGGTCAACTGCTGGACGTCGGAATTGTCGTCTCGATGAAAACAGGACACGAAATTGAAATGAAGCTAAAAAAGATATACGAGAGAAAGGAAATGACCTAAGTGCATTTCACGGGTTTTCAATCATTCAATATTTATGTATAGGTTAGGTATACGTGATTGCATTTACAAAAGCTTTTAAAGTTACTACACTTTTTATCTGTCATTTTCGATAAATATATCGATACGTATTGGCCTAATGACATTCGGTTGGTCTTACTTGCCAGTGCAGGCTCATCGATGGACCCTAGTTACTTTTTTTTCTTAACTTATTCCCTATGGATTTCATCCATCTACATATGCTAAAAACAATTTTCTTGCGAATTAAAATTATTAAATTTTTCATAAATTCTATATCGACGTTTATGTTATGAAAATTTGACAGTTCGTTATTTTTATGACTACAGGCTAGTTTATTCGATACGTATGAGTATCCGCCATTATGATAATAAATTTGTAACGTCACTCACCCGAATCCTAAAAATGCATAATCGATATTTTTTTGTAATAATTTTTCTTAAAATTTTTCCATTTTCATACTGGTACAAAATACAGATTTTTACCTAAATACGTTCTTTTCGAATTATGCTTCCTCCACACTGTAACGTTTCACGAGGTAACGCGATTGCTAAGGTCCATAGTCGAATTTTCAAAAAAGCTATCATTCACTAGTGACTCGAGCTCATCATCATCAAATCGTCACAGCTATGGCGGTAATTCATTTTGCAAAATACAGAATTCGCGTATCCCGCAGTTTGAAGGTGGCGCTATTTATTTATTTTTTTTAATCGGGCCAGACCGTGCAGCCAGTAAGTTACATAAACCAGCGGTTAGTTAGCGTTATAATGTCAGAGACTAAGATCAAAGATCTCGTTAGAAAACTCGACATAGACGAGCATAATATATACATATATATATATTGCAACGGAATATTTTGAACTCGTAACAAAAATGGGTTGAAAAATTCGTAATTTGCGATTACGAAAAACACCGAAGGCCAAAATATCTTTAGCGAAAATTTTTGCAATTTTATTGTATTTAAAGAATTTTCAATCACGCGCTATCCGGCTTAACCTATATTTGTCAAAGTAACAACAACCAGAACCCGCCCTAGTCGCTTAGCGTGCTCAGGTATAAGGACCCTCTGTACGAAACGCTCAGTCATGTCTCCCAGATCGCCAAGCCATTAATCTTCGCGATTAAGTTTCGAAGCCGATGCTTTCTGTTTTTCTTTTTGTTACTTTGATTTTGAATTATTCATTCTGTCTGAAAGCGTCTGTCCTGTTTCCTTCATGGGAAATAAAGTCGCCCGCTGTTGTCGGGATCGCCAAGTAAATCTTCTTTTTCCAATCGTCTCGTCCAGCCTGCTGTTTGAATTTTTGAAACCGTCTGGTTTTCCGCGAATTTTTTTTCACATCTCCAATCCAACTCCTCCTGTATAAACTAGGTCGCGGCTAGTTACGGAGACTTTGAGTCTGTTCTATAATGTGACGTGCGTTTTACAGCTGGCGCCCAAGGGAAAAATATCACACGGATCTGCCATTATACATCGTGGACCTAGGGAGTCGTAAGAATCCATTGGTCAATATATATATATATATATATATATCCTGATCCATTTCAGTCAAAAAATTCCAAGATAAAAAGAATATAAAAATATTTTAATGCAACTAATGGAAAATTAATTTTAATTTTTTTTAAAATAAACACACCGAGAATACTTCTACATCATGCAATGTTGTAGAGATTGGAGTAATTGGATGGTAAAATGGCAGAACACGCTGTTGTACCGAATACAACTTAATATGCATTACATTAATTAGTCGTAAAGGGACGACGAAGGTATGATACTTGGCTCAGAGAAGCTTTGCGTAACATCCACGTACTAATTACCTTTCCAAGAGTCGCACACAGGTGGCAGCAATTTTAGTAGTCGAGATATTCGTCTGTGAATTAATTAAGGAAGACACGTATAAATTCTCAGAGACAAACCTTAGGCTGATTTCACAATATTTTCTACTCCCCTCAAAAAAAAAAAAAAAAAAAAAAAAAAAAAAAAAAAAAAAAAAAAAAAAAAAAAAAAAAAAAA